AAAAATAAACATATAGATAAATACCAAAAACTAACAACCAAATCAAATGTCCAACGCCAATGTCAACGTAATAACGGAACGCAATCATTGACAACAGACGCGATTAATAAACAACGTGCGGTCTATAACCTGTCAAAACAACTTCTAGACGACGCGACAATAAAAGTTTTGGCCAAAGGTATGAATTTCGCTATAACACCGCGAAAAATTCCGTATGAAAACATTATCTGTAGTGTTGAGGACTGTCTGTACAAAATAATATTGGTAAAGAAGATTTAGAGACTATACGTCAAGACATTTCGGCCTTGTTACGTCGAAGCTCAGCGCCAAAATTAAATCTTACCAAAGATGAATTTACTGCATTGAAAAACTTACGCAACAGACCAGATCTTACGATTCTCCGCGCAGATAAAGGTAATACTACGGTTATAATGGATACGTCGGATTACAATTTTAAAATACAACAACTTTTATCGGATGAAAGTACGTACGTAAAGGTCAAAACAGATCCTACAACTAATACGCTTAAAACAACTAGCGATCTAATAAAGAAATACTCCGAGAAACTGAATCTAGACGTAAATTCGATAATACCTACGTGTGCCAAACCGCCGAAGTTGTATGGGTTACCAAAAATACACAAACCGAACGCTCCATTACGTCCAATAGTGAGTCAGATCGATTCGCCAACTTACAGATTGGCTCAACACTTAGCAAAAGTACTATCACCACTCAGAGGACATACAAGAGCACACACTAAGGATTCATACCATTTTGTCAGTGAGATAAAAGACCTATGTCTTACTGACAATGAAACTATGGTCAGTTTTGATGTTCAGTCTCTATTTACATGCCTACCTGTTGAAGACTGCATCTCAATTATAACTAGGAAACTAGAGGAAAACAACATGCCAGCAGAATATGCAGTATTACTCAGACATTGCCTTACATCTGGCTACCTATTGTGGAAGGAACAGTTTTACAAGCAAGTAGATGGTGTTGCGATGGGCTCACCGGTATCTCCCATTGTCGCCGATATTTTCATGGAGGACTTTGAGGAGAAAGCCCTGCTTACTGCACCAGTAACTCCAAGTTTCTACAAGCGGTTCGTAGACGATACTTTCACAATTTTACCATCAGACAAAGTAACTGCATTTTTAGAACATCTTAATTCCATAAACTCTAAAATTCAATTTACTATGGAGTTAGAGGCAAATAATTCTTTAGCTTTCCTAGATGTGTTAGTCATTCGAAATCCTAATAACACCGTAGGTCACACTGTGTATAGAAAAAAGACCCATACAAACCGATATTTAAACGGTGAATCCCACCATCACCCTTCACAGTTAGCTACCGTGGGCAAATCTTTGTTGCAGAGAGCACGAGGGATCTGTGACAGCAAACACCTAGCCGCCGAGCTTCAGCACGTCAAGCAGGTTCTGCACGACAACAAGCTTCGGGTTCCGCGCCTACGTCACAGTGACCGAGTGAAGCCGGCCACAGTCGAGCGTGTGCCTGCTGTACTACCATATGTCAGAGGTGTCACAGACAAGATTGGCTACATCTTGAAGCGAGCTTCTATTAGAACATTCTTCAAGCCGCCGAAGAAGATTAGTCAGTTCTTACCATCCGTCAAGTGCAATATTCCTCTACAAGATGCAGGTGTATACAAGCTTGATTGTGAGTGTGGTCTCTCATATATAGGGCAAACAAAACGATCAATAAAAACCCGCGTAAAAGAACACATAGCTGACGTGAAGCACCAACGTTCCGGGAAGTCTGCAGTTTGTGATCATATCCTAGACGGCCCCCGTCATTACATTAGATTTGATAAACCACAAGTCCTCGCGAAAGAACATCGATTCCTGCCAAGGATGATACGTGAGGCTATTGAAATTAAAAAACATCCTAATTTCAATAGAGAGGGAGGCTGGGTACTACCACCTGCTTGGGATCCTGTAATTCATAAAATTAAAACTAAACCCAAGCATACCACTGTAAGACTTCAAGACACAGTTAGTTCATTCTGCGTAGATCGGACCAAAATTAATAATTAAAAAGCTGAAGGTACTCCGGGTTAACTTTGACATCGGGACGTCAAACACCTCAGTCCCCCGTGACCACGGTTTTTGGAAAGCAACCGAAACGTCGGGAATATAAAATAAGTTAATTAAACGCGATAAAATCCGTAAAAATAGTTTTATTCAATGTGTAGTGTTCGCGTAAATATAAGAAATCATTATGTAAACCAGTACGGACTGGAAATAGCAAATAAAATACGCCGACTAGAAGATCTCAAAACCAAGCGCGCAAGATACATAACAGCTTTAAACTTCTTGAAGAGATGCAGAGACCATAATCTCATTCCTACGTGTGTCAAGATATCTACTAAAAAAGACATTCGAGGGAGCGCTAAGATCTTAAATCAGGCAAGCAAATAATTGTTAATAACGGTGATTCAGCAAAAACGTACCGATCTATGTTTCATTAATAAAACCATAGACAAATCGTCCAGTGATCTAAAGACAGTTTTATCGACATTTGATTATAAGAATTGCATGGAAACTGTAGACAAACGTGAAACAACTAAATACAATGAATGCAAAAATAAACATATAGATAAATACCAAAAACTAACAACCAAATCAAATGTCCAACGCCAATGTCAACGTAATAACGGAACGCAATCATTGACAACAGACGCGATTAATAAACAACGTGCGGTCTATAACCTGTCAAAACAATTTCTAGACGACGCGACAATAAAAGTTTTGGCCAAAGGTATGAATTTCGCTATAACACCGCGAAAAATTCCGTATGAAAACATTATCTGTAGTGTTGAGGACTGTCTGTACAAAATAATATTGGTAAAGAAGATTTAGAGGCTATACGTCAAGACATTTCGGCCTTGTTACGTCGAAGCTCAGCGCCAAAATTAAATCTTACCAAAGATGAATTTACTGCATTGAAAAACTTACGCAACAGACCAGATCTTACGATTCTCCGCGCAGATAAAGGTAATGCTACGGTTATAATGGATACGTCGGATTACAATTTTAAAATACAACAACTTTTATCGGATGAAAGTACGTACGTAAAGGTCAAAACAGATCCTACAACTAATACGCTTAAAACAACTAGCGATCTAATAAAGAAATACTCCGAGAAACTGAATCTAGACGTAAATTCGATAATACCTACGTGTGCCAAACCGCCGAAGTTGTATGGGTTACCAAAAATACACAAACCGAACGCTCCATTACGTCCAATAGTGAGTCAGATCGATTCGCCAACTTACAGATTGGCTCAACACTTAGCAAAAGTACTATCACCACTCAGAGGACATACAAGAGCACACACTAAGGATTCATACCATTTTGTCAGTGAGATAAAAGACCTATGTCTTACTGACAATGAAACTATGGTCAGTTTTGATGTTCAGTCTCTATTTACATGCCTACCTGTTGAAGACTGCATCTCAATTATAACTAGGAAACTAGAGGAAAACAACATGCCAGCAGAATATGCAGTATTACTCAGACATTGCCTTACATCTGGCTACCTATTGTGGAAGGAACAGTTTTACAAGCAAGTAGATGGTGTTGCGATGGGCTCACCGGTATCTCCCATTGTCGCCGATATTTTCATGGAGGACTTTGAGGAGAAAGCCCTGCTTACTGCACCAGTAACTCCAAGTTTCTACAAGCGGTTCGTAGACGATACTTTCACAATTTTACCATCAGACAAAGTAACTGCATTTTTAGAACATCTTAATTCCATAAACTCTAAAATTCAATTTACTATGGAGTTAGAGGCAAATAATTCTTTAGCTTTCCTAGATGTGTTAGTCATTCGAAATCCTAATAACACCGTAGGTCACACTGTGTATAGAAAAAAGACCCATACAAACCGATACTTAAACGGTGAATCCCACCATCACCCTTCACAGTTAGCTACCGTGGGCAAATCTTTGTTGCAGAGAGCACGAGGGATCTGTGACAGCAAACACCTAGCCGCCGAGCTTCAGTACGTCAAGCAGGTTCTGCACGACAACAAGCTTCGGGTTCCGCGCCTACGTCACAGTGACCGAGTGAAGCCGGCCACAGTCGAGCGTGTGCCTGCTGTACTACCATATGTCAGAGGTGTCACAGACAAGATTGGCTACATCTTGAAGCGAGCTTCTATTAGAACATTCTTCAAGCCGCCGAAGAAGATTAGATATAGGGCAAACAAAACGATCAATAAAAACCCGCGTAAAAGAACACATAGCTGACGTGAAGCACCAACGTTCCGGGAAGTCTGCAGTTTGTGATCATATCCTAGACGGCCCCCGTCATTACATTAGATTTGATAAACCACAAGTCCTCGCGAAAGAACATCGATTCCTGCCAAGGATGATACGTGAGGCTATTGAAATTAAAAAAACATCCTAATTTCAATAGAGAGGGAGGCTGGGTACTACCACCTGCTTGGGATCCTGTAATTCATAAAATTAAAACTAAACCCAAGCATACCACTGTAAGACTTCAAGACACAGTTAGTTCATTCTGCGTAGATCGGACCAAAATTAATAATTAAAAAGCTGAAGGTACTCCGGGTTAACTTTGACATCGGGACGTCAATCACCTCAGTCCCCCGTGACCACGGTTGCTGGAAAGCAACCGAAACGTCGGGAATATAAAATAAGTTAATTAAACGCGATAAAATCCGTAAAAATAGTTTTATTCAACGTTAACTTATTTTATAACAAACGGAAATTTCATAGGTAAAGACCTAATATATATAACACAAGTTAGTACAATTTATCACACCCTTTTCAAAACGATTATAACTGTTATCTTTGAATCTCATCTTTATCTTTCATTGTTACTAAATTTATGTGAAGGTTCACTTATATCACTGATAATTACTGTTGACCTAATATTTCCTTTGTCCCTCTGGTATAAATATGGTTTTATTATACAAGATGGCATTCAGTGCTTGCAGCAAAATAGAACACCATGTACATTTTACTGTTTGTCGTGACTATTTTTGCTGCAGCAGGTAAGTACTCGTTTATATTTCACATGAAGTGACTTGAATATAGCTACTAGAATGAAATGTAGTATTCAGCTTTAAAATTAACATATTTTTAGAACTACATGTTAAAAGAGAAGTTGTAAGTTTTATAAACATATTTTTTAATAAATCGTTGTGTTTAATAGACTTAACGGTAAATATTATTATTAACTAGATAGGATATAATAAAATTAGCCCATCTCCTAACTTCCTATTTTTACACATGTACAAGCTATCCCTTTATTTGATCATGGTAAGCTTCAAATTTATTATTTTAGGTTTCACAATAGTATTTACTTATATTATCATCTCTGCCATGTGATGGTAGGGTAAGATTCATTCAACACTCATCACATGAGTGCCGTAATAGGTTTTTGGTTATGGGAAATGCCAAATAATTCTTATAGCTTCCGATAGATTATTGTATAAACTTATTACATACAGCTATCGTTAAAACATATCCAGACTAGCGGCGAGGAGCAGTATCAAAGGCTATTATATATAGGCTATTATGGAGGGCCATTTCATAGGAAGGCCATGATTAGCAATGGGTTATCAAATTTATTCAGCTAAAATTACATAATTATATAGTTTTTTTTAATTTGATAGCGTGACAAACGAGTACACAGTTCACCTGATGGTAAGTGCTAGTTGTGACCTATACACATCTACATCTATCCTCAAATAAGTATTAAAATGCAGATTCGTAGTCACCCGTGAGAACTAAAATGGAATGCAAGTTTTTGAAAATAATATATAATACATGGTTACATAATATATTAAAATAATAAAATTACCAATTACACTACAATCTAATATACAGTAAATCAAAAATACAGTAAATGTTATAGAATTACAAGTGTCTAACCTTTTTTTTTTGTTATAGCGTCTTTGCCAACAACGAAAACTAAAGATGACGTACGAATCGTTGGCGGCGAAGACATAGATATTACTAAGGCACCTTTTCAAGTGTCCTTAGTACGAAAAGGGCGACACTCTTGTGGTGGTTCTATTATTGCAAATGACCTTATACTAACGGCTGCACATTGTGTCACTGGGTAAACGCGCACATTATATACATATCCACTTTAAATTAAATTAGTTAGGTATATCGAGATATTTACACCTATTTTTATTAGTTTTGATCAAACTTTTTGGAACTTTGAAGAGCTTTGAAAAATTTACAAAATTCACTTGAGTACAATCTTTCAATAGCTTAAATGCTAAAGTTTTTCAAATATCAATAATAATTTATTTTCCTTGCGATCATAGATTTCTTTAAAAGCAACTTGCACTTGCACTTTAATTCTAGCACAAGCCCAAGTGACTACACAGTACGAGTGGGTTCATCGTCAAGTCAAATAGGTGGGGAATTGTATTCAGTTGGAGATTTAAAGTGGCATCCCAATTTTACTTACACAGAAATGGATAGTGATGTTGCTCTGCTATGGCTTTCAAGACCTCTGCAATATTCTGAGAGTGTTGCTCCTATTGATATGCTTGAGCTCAATGAGGAGCTTCTGGATGGTGAAATTACTATGGTGTCTGGTTGGGGAAATCTTAGGGTTAGTTAAATGATGAATAGATTCTCAATATACCTTTGTTTCATAGCCTTCTTTCAGTAATTTTAATATGGTTTCTTATAAAGACTAAAAAACTGAAAACATTTATTTACATTTAGATGAAACTTAAAATTTAAAAGTAACATTAATATTTTTGTAGGAAGGTGGTGGGAACCCATATACACTGCAAATGGTGCTGGTTCCAATAGTAAATTCTGATGCATGCGGTAAAGCTTATTCACCTGCTTATACTGTGACTTCGAATATGATATGTGCAGGAATACCTGAAGGGGGCAAAGATGCTTGCCAGGTAATTTTTTTATTTAAAATCTATTCATTATCACGATAATCTTTACTGCTAAGGTTCTTATTTTACCTTTTAATAGAGTCAAAATAGTAACCTTCTGATCAATGACAAACCAGAAACAGATCTTTCGTATTATTGGAAGTTGATTACATATTGTTTATACAGTCAATTGATGATGGTGAATAGTTTCTTAAACACCGGATGAAAATTATGTTTACAAATTTATGTGTATATTATATCACGTTGATCGATAAGGATTTTTATTTTATTTCCAGGGTGATAGCGGTGGTCCATTGGTACACAACGGAAGATTAGCTGGAGTTGTCTCATGGGGCCTAGGATGTGCAAGACCTAACTTCCCTGGAGTATACGCCAAAGTTTCAGCACTAAGGAATTGGATTGATGAAACTGGTGCTGATCTAAGACACAAACACTTATTGAGGCCCTTTCAATTTTGATATCTCGAGTAAAATTTAAGTTTTATTTTGTAATGAGAACTTGGCTTCGTTATTTGACATTTTTTTACCAATATCATTTAATAAATAATTTTAATAAATTATCGATTGTTTTAATCAAACACTTTTTTAAGATTCTTACCTAAAATATAATTTTTTTAGTGGTGTTAAAGAATTATATGATCTTAGAACATTGACATCTTAAGGTATTTTTTTAAGAATGCTCAGATGATTCTATGGCTTCCGATAGATACCTTGGTTAAAGGCGCGAGATATCTGGTACGTGATATGCGTCTACCAATTGTGGTGATACCAGCAAATTTAAAAGAGGCATATGTTTAACAGCGGTAGAGCCACGCGGCAGCTTTTGCTGTCGCACGGATGGGCTGGCTCGAACCGGGGTGGTACCACGATCTCACAGAATACCAGCGTGAAGTAGAGGTTTACCTCTGCGTTTCGCTTGGTGAGTGCAGGTGGCCAGAGTTCCAATTGCCCTCCCCCATCAACGTGGTAGCAGAATTAAATAAAAGACTACCCCAGGAGAGTACCAGCACCCCTGGAGAATCCCTCGCTGAGCATCCACGACCAAACAAGTCCACTCCTGAGAGTGGCTGCTCAGGCTGCCCCACGTATTCTGAGGGGGGAGGGCAAAATTCCGCTCGCGACTAATACTGCTCGGAGCAAGCAGAGCAATAAAACCAAGGCGACCCCTGTCACGCTATCCGTGAATTTTTGCAACATCGGGGGACTTCATTCCAACCTTAACGCTCTCCATTACCATCTAGAGACAGCGAAGCCGGCCTTGCTCTTTTTAACCGAGACTTAGGTGTCATCATGGGCTGATACTTCATATCTTTCCTACCCGAGGTACAAATTACAACACTCCTTTGTGCCCTGGGCTAGAGTTTGCGCATACGTAAGAGAGGACATCGGTTTTTGAAGCCTCGGCAGTCTTGAAGGTACGGACCTGTCCATCCTATGGCTGCGTGTAGACAGCGGCGACCAGCCCCGCGTCTACGGGTACCTCTAGCGGTAATGCCGACACAGAGCGACTCATCGACCACGTCCAAATAGCTGCAAACTCCGTGCTACAACAGGTCCCATCCGCAGAGATCTTGATATTCGGTGTTTTAACGCCCACCACGCTGAATGGCTTGGTTCTCGTTTAACCGATCATGCGGGTAGATCTGTCTATAACTTCACCTTGGCATATGGTCTTACACAACTGGTTAATTCGCCTACGAGGATCTCTGATGTGGAGGACCATGTACCTTCCCTGTTGGACCTTCTGCTGACCTCTCATCCGGACAGATATCAGGTCTCCATCGATGCCCCTGTGGGCTTTTCGGACCATTGTCTGATCCGGAGTGCTATGCCACTTACGCTCCAATCGCAGTTGCAATCTGCAGCTTGCCACCGTATTTGGCACTATAGGTTGGCCGATTGGGACGTGATGCGATCTTTTTTTGCATTTGAGGGTGGGTTTGCTTCTCGCCGGAAGATTCCATCGTTGTTGTCGATTCGAGCTTCCCGAGAAATTGTGCAAATGGATAATCTGTTTCCTTAATAATCAAGATCGTAGTAGACGGTGCATGCTCTGATTTCAAGCCTTTCAACAGTGGTGTTCCACAAAGCTGCGTGCTATCACCAACGCTGTTTCTCCTGCATATCAATGATATGTTGTAATAACTGGTAATATTCATTGCTATGCGGATGAGAGCACTGGTGCCTTATATAACAGCCGTGCCAATATTTCTCGGGAAAAAGTCGCCGAGTACCAGGACAAACTTATGCCTGAAGTCGAGTCAATGCTAAACAAAGTCTTGGATTGGGAGCAACTAAATCTAGTCCAGTTTAATCCTCAGAAGACACAAGTTTGCGCGTTTACCGCTAAAAAGAACCTCTTTGTCGTATCTCCTCAGTTTCAAGGCACTCCCCTTCTTGCCTCAGCCAGTATCGGTATCCTCAGAGTCGACATATCGAGTGACGTGCAGTTTCGTGGTCACTTGGAAGAGAAGGCCAAATTGGCCTCTAAAAAGCTTGGCGTGCTCAGCAGAGTGGGACAGTATTTCATGCCGGCACAGTGCCTGCAACTTTACAAGGCGCAGGTTCGGCCTCACATGGAATACTGTTCCCATCTCTGGGCAGGGGCTCCCCAGTGCCAGCTCCTTCCACTTGACCGCATCCAGCGCAGAGCGGTTTAAATCGTCGATGAACGAGTTTTTTCTGATCGGCTCGATACACTTCCGCTGCGTAGAGATGTTGCATCTCTTTGCGTATTTTATGGCAGTCTTAAAATACAAACCGATTTAGGTTTGTATTTCAAGACTTTCATATTTTCAGACAGAGCTCATATGACTATATGGAAATGAAGAGGCTCTTGCGGAAAAATACTTAAATTAAAGAAAGCAAATCTTGCTTAAATAAAGTATCATTTTATTTTACTTGTAAAATGTGGTAATCACACTTATAAAAACATAAATTTCATGGTACGTAAGCATTATTATGTATTTAGCATATATTATTTTTATTGCAATTTTTAGTGTCGATTTACCACGTTCTAATCAGTAAAGGAGAACCAGCAATCTGAGAAGTTTCCGAGTTGACACTCGACCATAAATATTAAGGGTTGCAAAGATTAGTACAACTCATTATCGTCAGCCTATCAAAAGTCCACTGAAATGAAAGCCTCCCGCATAAATTGTCACCTTCGATTAGCCGACGATATAGTCCTTATGGCAGAATCACTGTCAGTACCTAAGCACTATGCTCAGTGACCCCAATAGTGTCTCCCAACGGATAGGTCTTAAGATGAACATGGTCAAAACAAAAATCATGTTTAACGCCCATGTCACACCTATGCAAGTAGTTGTTGGAGGCACTAAACTCAAAGTTGTGTATAAATATGTTTACCTTTTTTTTATATAGGATAAGGGTGACAAACGAGCACAAAGTCCACCTGATGGTAAGTGGTTGCTGCAGCCCATAGACATCTACATCTATCTTCTATTACAAATCAAAATGTAGATGCGTTGTCACCCGTGAGGAAAAACCTGGGACAAATAGTCCGACTAGGTAAGTCCAACTTCGACTGAGAGGTCAATGGACGGATTCAACTCGGTTGGGCAGCGTTCGGGAAATTACGGCACATCTTCTCGTCAGGTATACCTCAAAACTTGAAAACGAAACTGTACAACCAGTGCCTGTTGCCAGTGATGACCTTTTTTTTATAGGATAAGGGAGACAAACGAGCACACAGTCCACCTGATCGTGAGTGGATGCTGTAGCCTATAGAAATGATCAATTATCCTCGATTAAGAATCAAAACTCAGATGAATTCTCGAGGATTAAGGCGGAATGCCTCGTTTCCAGTAAAAAGGGCCTCCGGCCACCTGCACTCACCAAGCGAAACGCAGAGGTAAACCTCTACTTCACGCTGGTTTTCTATGAGGTCGTGGTACCACCCCGGTTCGAGCCGGCCCATCCGTGCGACAGCAAAAGCTACCGCGTGGCTCTGCCACTGTTAAAACCCATGGAACCGAGAGGTAGTCCTTCAATGATGGCTGTATTAGGAAACTCAATGTCGATCAGCGAGCTATGGAGAGCTATGCTCGGCGTTTCGCTGCATGATAGACTTAAAAACGAGGATATCCGAAGTAAAACCAGAATAACCGAAATAGCCCAAAGAATTAGTGTGCTGAAGTGGCAATGGGCCGACCATATAGCTCGAAAAAACATTATACCTTAAATTGATTGAAGACTATTAAATTGATCATTATTTTGTTAAAACTAAATTAACTTTAATTATGAATGACTGTAAAGAGTAAAATGTAAATAATTATAATAAATTTTGTTTTCAAGACAGTTTACCTTTCTTATGGATACATAGAAAGACACACCCAATATAAAAATCGTAGGTGTTTCTAGACATATATATTCACGTGTTCCTGTAGCATATTATATCTAAGCCAGATACCAAATATCTACGTATAATAGTCTTTTAGAATTGAAAAAAATCTTTGACAGACAGAGAGATACAGACACCGAGGCGACTCTAAATGTGAACGATTTTGCAAAATTTGGCACGGAACAGCATTTAATGATGTTTCTAAATTCAAACTCACGCGATCGAAGCCACGGGTTAAAATCTAGTCGATAATAAAGCGTATATACTTATTAAAAATTCGATCCAGTTTGTTTCGAATGTCAGCATAATCGAGAATAATATTATATATAAAACAATATTTCACTTAAAGTAACGTTAGATATTATTATCTTGTAATTACATAATTGCATATATTTTTGCATATTTAATATAAAAATGTTACTACTGTATTTATTATACAATGGGCCTTGAAGTTCTGTTAGGTTTCGTCAGCGTTAGATAATAGATGGATCAGAGAAATCATTTTACTTTTAACTAGTTCGTCTATTTCATTTTTAAATGCAAAATTTCTACCAGTGATCCTCGTGTAGTTATATGATGTATAACGCGCAAATTATAATATCTGGGAAATATTTAACTGAAATAAAGTAACTTTTTGACTACCGAGATTGCACCAAATAAATAACTCATTGACTTTTTTTGAAAAAAACCTATGTTCAGCAGTGGATTGAGTGATGGGTTTAATGATGATGATGTTAATAACTCATTTCTAGAAATACATGTTAATGTGAAAAAGGCTGACATGTGCGTACAGAATCGATACCTTGGCGTTAGTAATACTGTTCACTATCACCAGTTGACAGGGTCTGAATCCGACCCTTAAATCAGAAACACAGTCAAAATCTCAGGTGTCCCGGAAGCGACGGTACCCCATTCGGTCTTCAACTTCGACAGTTGGCACTTTCTGGCAGACAGATCCCTGGCGAAAAACTTTGGACCCTTGATTTTACTATGAGATGTATTGAAATCATTATATAGTGGTTTAGCTTTACAGTTACCGTTACCGATACAACCTATCAAAGTCCACTGCTGAACATTGGCCTTCCCCATAGATGGC